TGTGGCTGTGGCTGGCAAGAGCTGTGCTATTCTGGCGGCTATCGAAAGCTCGATCCCTGCATAGTCTGGCAAGGCTCGTTGAGTGTTCTGAAAAGGACACCGAGCGTGCTTTTCTCCACAGTTCACGAGACAATCGTTCAACAACTGGATGTTACAACTGGCTCCCCAACAAATGATGTGCTCACGGGCTGCTTATGACCCAAACGCAGACGACACCGATAGCGTAGTCGAGCCAAACTCAGCCGAATATCAAGCGAGTATGACCAGTATCTAGCTATCGATAATCAGGCTACGAATGGGTAGTTATCGGACTGTTGAGCGAGCGAGAGCTGTGTACGACTGGGCTGTCTGCCCTGACTGTGTCGATGTCTGATGTGGACGTGTTATGGTAATCTGTCGACTAACTAACTTATATATCTCATAATATTTTGCCACCACCCCTAATGTTTTCTTTGCGTCGTCACCCCTGCAATAAGGGTTGATCAGAGTATATTTTTGTTATATTACCACAATCGTTTTCAGTACAAATTGTGCATTTCCATGAGTGCTCAGTCCTCCAAAGTAACTAACCATCCGAAGGTGTACCTATCAACCTTATGACCGATGCTAGCTACATTATTATTTGGCTTCAAATCAGTATTTACACCTGGCACCCCCGCCACTGTCGAAGAAAAATAGAAAGTGTCTAGTCTTGTCAGTCGTGATTCTTCTCGACAATATCCCTCGGAGTTGGTATTGACACATAGATACAGGATTGGCATAGTTTTTAACTTAAACGTTGAAACCCTTTTAGGGTTAAAAGTGTTTTATCGCAACTGTATTATATTTGTGTCAACAAATTTACTTAGATTTCTTTCTACTAGAAATTCTAGGTACTTAAGATAAACTAGGGGATTTTCCCACTATGACGGAAGCTTCAAGTTTTATCTCCTGATTCACTTTCAGTCAGAAGAACATCAAGGTAGCGATTGGTAAATATAAAAACTGAATAATGCTTGCCTTATAATTAATAACAGTAGAATAAAACGAATCAGTTTCTCACATCTAAACAGCCGAGTTAGAATTAATTCAAAGTTTGAAGTTTGAATATCAAACATTTTGATCACAAGCAATTTTCTGAGAATGTACGTAGTGCTTGTAGTGTAAAAATTATCATTTATTTTATTTAGGGGAATTTCCAGTGTGATGGACGCTTATACGTATGCTGTTTATTATATATTATTATTGCGTCCTGTTTCAGAATGAATAATGTGTAATTATGATAATTAACTTTGGTGGCAGTGAATCCACATCACTCGCCAGAATGGCAGACTTGGGAATTAAGATCGGCACAGCAAAAAACGAGACGCACACCAGCTACGCCAGAAGACTTGTTAATCAACATAGAACTGGTACTATTAGCCATCGGACGTTGGGGTTCATAGTGAGGGGAGGATCTGAGCACCTATGGACATGTCCGGAGTGCAATGAGGATAACCCAACTAACTAACTAACTAACTAATATGATAATTAGTAATATTTATATTAATACATATCACCTTCTCACATCTAAACAGAGTTAGGATTAAATTTAATAGTATAGTAGACAAAAAATGCAACAGTCTTTTATTAAAGTCTGCGTTGATAATTATAAGCTGGGATGTTAATTTGTGTGTAAATTGTTGTGTCCTCTGCCTCACTATCACCAGGATGATTCAGACAGGTTGAATCAGTCATGAGTCAAGGGAGGAATGTTTATTTTACATGAAACATCAGAGTGCTATAGAAATATTGCTAATACTAATACAAGACATGACAATTTCAGTAATATCAACGTCACAGAAGACTGCAGGCATTATATGTTAAAGAAGAGGGCAAAGAAGAACCTGGAATGACATAAAGAAATGGACAGTACTAAGTTATTATACACTTATTCATCAAGCAGAAGATAGAGAAAGATGGTGGGTTTTATATGCTAGTGCTTCCACCATCAATACTACACTTCCATGACCCTAATTGGGCAAGGGTTATGTTATGTTATTATGTTAAAACTTGTTACAATCAATTATAAGGAATCATGTAGACAACCTTCGTGATTTTTAATTTTATTTATTTCCCTAATTCGGAATACTAATGAAAGTAAAACCCAGAAAATAGAAGGCTAAATATAGTCACTTCCTGTTGTGATACAGCCCCATAAACACTACTAGTATATCACCATTTTTGCAGTGATCTATTCTCAGAAAGTGTAGTTAAATATCATTGGTTCTATGTGCATCTGCATAGTGATTAAGAGGCCTGGACGTGTTATATTACCTAAATATAGTGTTTAGAGGGTTTTCTTTGTAAATCAAATAGCTTTTTGAAATTAAATGCCACTAGATTTACAGTTTTTCCTGTAAGCCTCAGTGTTAGTGATCACCAGGTCTCAGTGTGAGTCTCCTCATACATATTTGTTTTAGACCCCAGGGAATGCATCCCATTAAATGCTTCACTCTGTACTTGTTTATTGATTGTTCCCTTTAAATATCTTTATATATTTTGAAACAAAAATTTAAAAAATTTAAACAAAATACATTTTATAAACAATTTTTAAAAAAAAGGATTTTTTGTGTAGGAAACTCCCATGTGTTCACAGCCCATTGTTGTAGGTGGGATGAAGGGGTTAATTAAAGGTATGGCAGTGTTCCATTTTGTAGTGACTTTTTAAATGGAATCTAGGGATTGTAAATGCAATTTTACATTCCCAACATACCAGGGATTGAAGTCAGCTGCAGACAGTATGAAAGCAGATCCCTTGACTTTGGTGATGTGAGCATTGTATCATTCAGATAGCAAAAGCAGATTTCTGACGGTAAAATAGCATATAGAGGCGGAGAAATATAAATGTCTTGACAGCTGCTGGTATCAACAGTTATAAGTCAGAGGGCACCGTGGTCTCGAGGCATGGTGTCCTTATTAAATGCTAGAGGTCCCAGATTCAAGCTCCGGTGAAGGCTTGGATTTTTTCCTGTGGACTTCTAGTAATTTCCCCTGGTATCTGGGTAGTACGTCCGAGCACCCATATGTATTGTTGCGAACATTAAAAAATTCCTTCGGCAGTTGGAAATCGAAAAGAATAGCTTAACGGCATTGCCCAAGCAAAATTTGGAGTTTAAAATCTGCTCAAAAAGTATTTCAGGATTCTCGCCGGTTCAACAGAGTTTGTGCACTGCGCTGAGATTCTGCAGACTCATGCTTGAGTTAGAAGATCGGAGCACTTATGGGTTACATCCGTGTGCTGTGATGTTGATCCGTTGAGTAAACATGAAACGTAGTTATAATGCAAAGAAGATGACAGTTATATATTGGGCTTCCCATGTGGGTTTCAGGACCCCATTTTAGGGAGGAAAAAAAATAATAGATCCATATCCCCCTGACAAGTATGTTATAATAAAAAAAGTAAAAAAGTAAAGATCCCTTTACACGCCCTTAGGCGCATCGGGCATATAGGAAGAGCACCCATATTTTTACAGACCAATTGGCACTTGGTGGGTAATGTGGTCAGCATTACGCTGGCCGTCTTTACTTTCCCAGGACAGCCCATCCTGGTACCCATTTGAGGCTGGGTCGACCTGCTACGTTCCATACCACGATAAAAATCCACGCAGCCCACGCAGGTTTCGATCGCGGTACTTTGGATTACGAGTCGGACTCGCAACGCCTTAGCCACGGACGCCGCATGTTATAATAGGTGAGTAATTAGGGACTTCCTTCAAAGTCGGATTGCATTTGCATGAGAAGCGAGGAACCATACGAATGAGCCGCATGTGTAAAATTACACATATACACACAAAACTCCAAATTCTACTAGAAAAAGACCAAAGTCCAGAAGTGGACAAACAACCAGAACTTTCAGCTAGAGTTTGTAGCTAGGGAACACTAAGAAGAAGATATATTGGGCACATCCTGAGGAGAAGCAAATAGAATCACTGCACAGGCACTGAGATGGGAAATTAATGGATTGAGAGGGCGAGGGGATCTGAAACAGCCCCTAGGTGGATGAGGAAACGTTAATGAGATAAGAGAGGCCAAAGGTACTGGACTGGAAACAATTGCTCAAGATACTACATTTTTGAAGAATAGACTACAAACCCTGTTGTGTACACTAGCACAAAAGGATGATAAAAATAGCCTAATAATCTACAGATAACTAATAAACACTGAGGTTGCTTCAACCTTTGGGTGATAGGCAGCTAACTTGTTTGTAATATGAAACCAGAGTGGCAAGCTTCACTGGGAAGGTCACGGGTAGTGAGCATACTTTGGATCTTTCTTTTCTCCAGGCCATGGTGGGTAATGAACAGGCAGACAGATTGGCTGGATCTGCACCACAGGGCGGTGAATTGATACATGACAAGGCAGATGCAGTCAAGGACCTTTGGGAACAAGCAACAGAATCAGTAGAGAAACAAGATTATTATGGTCTGGAGAGAATGAGGCACCTGGGTGTAACCAGAGGATCTGGCTGGCTCACTGCACTCAGAGAAAAGGCAAGACGGACATATAACCAGATTGTGACCGGTACCATCAGTATTGGAACTCTGCGCTGGCTGCTGAAGATGAGGATGGAGCACACATGGGAGTGCTGTGATGTCAGTTCTTGACTTAACTTATATGAAATGCTCCAGGCCACCAGCATTTTGTTTAATGTTATATTTTTTTTAAATTAGGGATTGCTTTTAGATTCTCAATAGAAGGTCTGTGATATGCTTCAGCACTGACATGATTATACAATTTTCTAATTTCTAGTTTAGCACCAGGTGTTATTTACCAGTTACCATTTTGGGAAACAACCAGTCAAAACTGACCACATATTTTTTCATAGAAAATGAAGTTCAAATTGATTACAAACTGCCACATCAGTGTGGGCTGATTAAATGCAAGCCAAGTTTACAATGGACTCACATTGAGTGTTGGTTTATGATGGACTTGGTATGTGAAAGAAGCTCAGACTGTTTTGTAGCGTTGTGTCAGTGAGGATGGAATCGTTGAGTGTGTTGGGAGATAAGCTAGCAGCGGCCATCCATGCCGGGGATTCCAAGGAGGCAGCTCTTCTGGTTTCTCAGTTGTCAAACATGAAGCTGAAGCTGGATATCAACATCAAACAGGAAGCGCAGGAGCAGCGGAATAGTGAGCAAGAGTTTAGGTATGTATGACTTACTTGGAGCAGTATAATGTAGAGCAAGAGTTTAGCAATATAATAATGAGCAAGAGTTTAAGTATGTATGACTTACTTGGAGCAGTATAATGTAGAGCAAGAGTTTAGGTATGTATGACTTACTTGGAGCAGTATAATGTAGAGCAAGAGTTTAGCAATATAATAATGAGCAGGAGTTTAAGTATGTATGACTTACTTGGAGCAGTATAATATAGAGCAAGAGTTTAGCAATATAATAATGAGCAAGAGTTTAGGTATGTATGACTTACTTGGAGCAGTATAATATAGAGCAAGAGTTTAGAAATATAATAATGAGCAAGAGTTTAGGTATGTATGACTTACTTGGAGCAGTATAATATAGAGCAAGAGTTTAGCAATATAATAATGAGCAGGATAGAGCAAGATTTAGAAATAGAATGATTAACTTGGTGATGTGTAATAGTGAGAAAAAGTTTAGGTTATTGGGATTAACTTGGTGCTGTGTAATAGTGAGCAAGAGTTTAGGTGTGAATGGTTTACTTGGTGCAGTGCAATAGTGAGCAAGAGTTTAGTATGTATAGTTTGCTTGATGCTGAATAACAGTGAGCAAGAGTTTAGTATGTATAGTTTGCTTGATGCTGAATAACAGTGAGCAAGAGTTTAGTATGTATAGTTTGCTTAATGCTGAATAACAGTGAGCAAGAGTTTAGTATGTATAGTTTGCTTAATGCTGAATAACAGTGAGCAAGAGTTTAGTATGTATAGTTTGCTTGATGCTGAATAATAGTGAGCAAGAGTTTAGTATGTATAGTTTGCTTAATGCTGAATAACAGTGAGCAAGAGTTTAGTATGTAAAGTTTGCTTGATGCTGAATAACAGTGAGCAAGAGTTTAGGGGTGTATGGTTTGCTTGATGTTGTGTAATAGTAGACAAGAGTCTAGGTATGTATGATTTTCTTGGAGCAGGGTAATAGTGAGCAAGAGTCTGTATAAAATTGAATGTTGATTTAAGAATCAACATCATAGCTCTTGGGACACTCCCATTAGCGCTCTGTCCCCCATCTTCAGCAGCAAACCACGAGTTCCAATTCTGATAACACCAGTAACTGTTTGATTGTATATCCGTCTTGCCTTTCCTATGAGTGTTGAGCGTCGGCCAGATCCCCTGGTAACTCGCTGCAGCGCCATTCTCCTCAGACCGCAATGATCTATTTGTGCTTCCTCACTATTCACTTGCTCCCAGAGGGTCCTCACAACATCTAGCTTGTCAGACATCAGTTTACCACCAAGTGGTGCAGAAACGGCTAGTCTATCTGCCTGCTCATTTCCTCACACACCGGCATGATCTGAGAGAATATCCAAAGGATGTTAACTACCCTGGACCTCTGAAGTGATGCTAGCCACACTGCACGGAGCATACATCTCTCCACCTCTCTCAACATGCTCTGTGAGTCAGTTACAATGACGGCATGTGTGTACAGCTGATTCTCAAGCCAGCGAAATGAAGTAGTGACTGCCTCCACCTCCATTCTCAAACTAGACGTTGTGATATCATGTGACAAGCTTTGTTGCATTTGTGGTCCATTCGCTTTATGAATCCCAATGCACTTTGTCTGCCCCTCAACACAGAGCTGTCTGTATAGATAATTCCATCACTTGGGCGGGATTTGTCATGAATCGTTTGTTGAACTTCTGATTCAGCAGCACCAGCTGGCCAGTCTCTGCACTCAGGACCCAAGTGATTAAAAACCCGGCACAAGTCTGAAACTTGCTCAGACACTTTAACCTATTCCTCACCTCGCACAAATTTATCAAGCATGCACACATGTCTGATTGTGTCCTCAGCTTGCGCCATCCAAGACCTTCCTCTTTTCAGTCTGTGACCCTTAGCTCTACCCATTGCTGCATGCAGGAGGCACTTCTTGTCTGCGGCTGCTCTAAGATGTGACTTTGCTTGCAGAACATTGAGCCTGTCTGCAATAGTAGGCAGTGCAGGCACATATTGCATACATTCTATCGGGGTATCTCTTGTACATCCCAGAATTACCCGTATAAAGTAAGCCAGAACTGGAAAGCAGATGTGCATGCAAAGCTCACATTCTGCAACAAGACCAAAGTCCAGAAGTAAACAAACAACCAGAACTTCCTGCCAGAGTTTATAGCCAGTGAACACGAAGAACAAGATTTCTGATACTGTTGTCTTCCATGCTATTATGTCTAACACCCTCTCTCTTGGTTTCCCAAGCCACTCTTCTTTTCTAACCTTTCTTTTTTTGTTTTGCCATTAGGTTTCCCCCTTCTCAAACAGCATGAATTGTCTTCTGAAGCACACAATTTTCTGTAGTAAATTAATTTTAGTTGTCTCTGTTTTCCTAATTTCTCTAAGAAATTGTTCATTTGATCTCAGATTTGTTGGCACTTTACCAAAAGTCACCTAACAGCAACTTTGGCGATCATTACCTCTATGTATTTTCAGGGCAGTTATTAGTCAATTACACTATCAAAGCAATTGTTCTCCGTTATACATTTGAACAAAGAAGACACAAAGAGAGGATCCATTTATTTGTTGCATTTTATTTAATTGTTTACTATAGTATACACCTGATGAGGTGCAGTGAAATATGCCCGGTATATAAATTGTGCAACCTGTTGTTTGTGTTTTCTTTGTTCAAACTTGACATTAGACAAAGGTCCCGGTCAGAGGTTCCTGGTAGTAGGCATCCTTTGGATATTGCGTCCGTTTCATGCCGGTGTGTTGGGAAATGATCAAGCAGATAGACTGGCTGGCTGTGCACCACTTGGTGGTGAATTGATGTATGACAAGTTAGATATTGTGAGGGCTCTTTGGGAGCGGGTGAACAGTGTGGAGGTGCAGATGGATCGTTGCGGTCTGAGAAGAATGGCACTGCAAGGAGTTACCAGGTGATCTGACCGACACTGACCACTCAGGAGAAGGATGAAATAGATATACAATCAAACAGTTACTGGTACCATCGGAAGTGGAACTCTTTGCTTGCTGAAGATGGGGACTGAGCACTTATGGGAGTATCCCGAGTGCTGTGATGTCGATTCTTAATTCAAGTCAACTTTACATTAGACCAGGGTTGTTCAACAGAATTACCCAGGGGCCAAAATAAGGGAATGTTCATGTACAGAATGATCATTAATACAATACAGTTGGCAATGAGCCACGGGCCACTTACTAGGCCTTCGCGGGCCAAATCTGGCCTACGGGCTGCCAATTGAATATCCCTGCAATAAACCAAAAGCACACATTGGAATTCCTTCTTTCGATAGGTCAGAATGAAATAGCTTTTCACATAAATACATAATTTTTAAAGAGATCTCAATGTTTAGACATGACTGTCGAAACAAGGATTTTAAGACTCAAGTGACCTTTTAATTAACATATTTTTTTTACTGCATCTTGAACTTTCAGTGTGAGAGTTCATGTGGAAGATAGAATCTCTGATGGGTGCTACTTCTACCTCCTAGTGAAATCTTCGGACACTATACAAGACTTGAAAAGAAAGGTACAAAGCAGTCTTATTTTTGTTGCATACTATAAATTTGCAAAGAAAGGTGTCAGTGCATGAATTTATGCATGCTGTTTACTGTTGGAGATTGCACAGTGTGGAGAAACATGAAACGTATGCCAGTCAGAAGAGCATTTGATGATTTTATATGTTTATGTGTGTGCATATATGAGATAGAGAAAATAATACTTGCATACTAAACCAGTTTTAACATACAGCTGCGTATCCTGGACAGTTATGACACAACAGACTCTTGAAGCCTTAGGTGTGGTTTTCTAGCAGATTGCTTAAAATCCTTTTTTTTTTTTACAGCCAAAAAATGATTAATCCAACTGTGTTGAACGAGGCGCGGGCCAGAAGATAATTTGTCACAAATATCGGAGAGAGAGAGAGAGAGAGAGACAGTCATAATTTTTGGCTACTTTATGAAAAGAAAGGACTGGAATGTCTTGTGACCACTGAAAGTTTGTGGCAAAAGAGACAGAGGAAGACAACATGGGGTTTCTTGACAGCATTTTGTCATGGTATGGACGGGTGTCAGAACATGAACTGATACATGTTGTTGGTTGCACATTTTGGACATGTACACACACGTATTTAAAATATGTTTAGTATTTAAAATGAAAGTTAAATGCATTCAAAAATAAATACTTTAAGAAAAAGATGAACATAAAATGGGAGGAGTTCAAGAGAAGTGAAAAAATAAAAGAAATGTCTGGTCAACCACTAGAATCAACAGTTATACGACAGAGAAAGAAGATGGCGCCATACTGGACACATTCTGAGAAGAGATAAAAGGAGAACCACCAAACAGGCAGCAAAATGGGAAATAAAGGGAGTGAGGAAGAAGGGACATCCAAGAGAAACAAACCCCTGAGGCAAATGTTGATAAGAGACAGCCAAAGGGGTGTGACTGCATTCCATCGAGGATAGTGAAGTGATTACACAGGAAAGAACTGAATGGATAAATATGTGTGAGCCTTGTGTGAAATGTAATGGTGCAACAGGGCAATGAATGAATGAATGAATGAGTTTACAGTGCACATTAGCGCAGTGCAGTCATAGGAGACTCGCTTTCTAATCCAGCTGTGACTCGCTACAGCCCACTGCTGGTGTTCAAAACCGGACAGTTACCGGGGTTCACCCAGCCTCTAGGTAATGGGCTGTAGCTACGGAGTTGCGTCACAGGCGGACAGTTTATATCAGCTGTCTGTACTGGTGGCAGAGCACTTATGATTTATAACCGTGTGCAATGACTTTGGTTCACATCTCCCAACTTTACCTTTTAAAGTGTCTTTAAGTATGACTGGTTACAGCATTGTTTCCATCTCCTTAGGTTATGCTTAAATACAACTTCCCAGAGGAAGTTCAGAGATGGATTATTGGGAAAAAGATACCCGATAACGAGAATAAACTATCACAGTGTGGCGTCAAAGGGCCAGGGCACACACTGTATCTTTACTTGGTGACTGCCAGATCGGTGGGACTTTCAAGGCAAGATTATGAATCCAGGCATCAGGCATTGGGTAAATATGTTGTGCTCATTGTGTTAAATTTTGTTTAAAAAAAAAAATTGAAACCTGTTTCACAGAGCAGTTGAGAAAGGTGAAAACAGGCATGCTTCGTGCAGAGTGGCAAGCATCACTTCAGAGATCCCGGGTAGTTAGCATCCTTTGGATATTTTCTCCAGGTTATGCTGGTGTGTTGGGAAATGAGCAGGCTGATAGACTGGATGGTTCTGCACAACTTGGCGGTGAATTAATGTATGACAAGCTAGATATTGTGAGGGCCCTTTGGGAGCTAGTTAACAGTGCGAAGGGGCAGACAGATCATTACGGTCTAAGGAGAATGGCGCTGCAAGGAGTTACCAGGGGATCTGACTGACGCTCAACACTCAGGGAAAGGATGAGACGGATATACAAACATACAGTTACTGGTACCATTGGAAGTGGAACTCTTCGCTTGCTGAAGATGGGGAACTGAGCACTTATGGGAGTGACCTGAGTGCTGTGATGGTGATTTTTAATTCAACATTGTTCAAAAATAATTTATTTAAAAAAGGTCCTGCCTATGATGCTTGATGACGAAAGTAAAAGCTGATGATGAATTAAATTAAGCTGTATAATGAAACTCATTATAGTAGCTGTCTGGGTTCCGGAACCCATTGTTGCGAAAACAAGAATAGACTCACTGCCTCCCCAGCAAGCAAGTCATAAGAGTCGACTAATTAGGGGACTTCCTTTGAAGTTGGTGTAGTAAGGAACCAGCAGTCGGAATGCAAATGATTCAGACCTGTAAAACGGATGTGCCTGCAATACTCAGGTTCAGGAACAAGTCTAAAGTCAAGAGGGGGATGAACAACCAGAACTTTCCACGGAGTTTACAGCAGGTGAACGCGAAGAAGAAAAAAATACTCTATGGTAAAAGTTAAAGTTAGTGAGGAATCAAATTAGGCTGTATCGTGAAACTAATTAGGGCGGTATTCCAATTTTAGGACTCAAAATACACATACAGCACATACATTAGAGGAATGGTATTAGATTGAGATTGAGTTATAAAACTAGAGAGTGGTCCAGAGCGTTCCGCTAGAGTTTACAGCCGATGAGTGCCAAGAAGAAGAAGAAGAAGATTGCACTTGGTTTTATCCCACGGGTGTTAGTCTTTCTGCACAGAGTGGATGCTCAGCTGCTAAGAGTATCCCACAAAACTAGCTACAGAGCTCCAGCAACACCCAGGGATCCACTCATGAACAGAAGGTCGAAGGAACTTTACCACAGATACTTTTATGTGTTTGGGGAGGGGGATGGGGCATGGGTAGAAGGAGAGTTAATTCAGAAATATTTATATTTCTCAGAACAAGCAGGGATGGTATCCAGCAAACAATTTATCCAGACTGGTTCAAGTTCGCCGGCACAAAGAGGTATTTACCAATTTTTTTTTTTTAAATGACTAGTCTGTTGGTTCCGCCATATTTCTGTGGATTTGTTTGACAGACAGTTTTTTGTTTGTTATAAAAGTCATTTTTGCTCTTGAATCTCACTCTTCTCCTTTTTTTATCTTAACGTAAAATATGCAAAGGTTTGCTACTTCACAGGCCAGTTGTAGTTTGAAGAAAAAGCCCTGGGGGGGGGGGGGGGGGGGGGGGGGGGTATCCATTTAATAAATACTTCACTCTATTCATATTTATTGATTGCCCTTTTTATATACCTTTATAAATTTGGGAACAAATTTACAAATGCAGATAAATAAATTTATTAGTGACTTGCGTAAATGGTTGCTTTTTATTTTTAAATGAGTTTTTCCTGGAATTCTCACAAGTTTAACTCTTTCAGGCCCATGAATTTGACAGATTGGCCCACATTAATTTCCCTGACAGAAAGGGGAGGGGGGTGTATACAAGAAAGGCAATAGAGAATCTAATATACTTCTAATCCCTATAAAATAATATATTTTTTAAAAGAGAAATGAATGTACATTTTGAATCTGATAAGTGTATTTTTAATTTTGTTATAGTTAGAAGGAAAGAAGAATTCAAAATTTATGATAGGTTTCTGGGTTAGTTTAGCACTCAGGGCTCTTAGTTCTCACAGAGTGCTGAGCAAAATTTCAGAGAAAAAATTGGCCATTTCATGCACACTATTTACAATTTACTATATGCAGTTATATGCAGACGCTATTTGCAATGATTTCAATGTAGCTTAGCCCTAGTATAGAATTGTCTCTTTGTTTAGAGCACTTTCCTTCTCTTACACCATAAATTTGGTAGCAGTGGGACATTGTCTGTGTAAATTTATCAGAACCACTACATTCCCAACTTCTGATCGCTCAGCTTTGCTGGTAAAAATTCACCGTCCGATTCACTTTCCATAAAATCTCAATTTTCATTATTATTATTCAAATTAAAAACATCTGACTGAAACAAATTCAGAGCTTCGGCAGCAGAAAGACGCATTCTGCGACCTGTATTTGTGGTTGAAACATTATTATTCATGGTCCTCAAAAACAAACTTAGAGAATGCACTGTTTAAAAAAATGTAGCTTTGATCCGAATCAATCTTTGCATGTGTGGCTTTAGGTACGGGAAGTAGTTTAAAGGCAATCTTTAGAGTGACTTTCCTTGAATAATTTAACCGTAGTTTCGAACATTAGAAACAAGTACGGAGCCATGTGCGAAGCAATATGTATGGGACACACGATTGACGATGACAGCGTTGTTTGGGCAAAACAGAACTTTTCAATCAACGCTCACACCGTTGCTCGGGCCTCAAAGAGTTAAGACCCATTATTCAAGCATTCACAGGGCTAAAGGGTTGAACCAATGGTTATCTCTGCCGTAAGTTGCATAATATATCTGTTACTAATTTTGTTTTTATTTTAGAATCTCCAGAGCCTTACTGGCCAGCTCCCTTGTCACCACGAGAGACACAGACCCAGAACTACTCGAACAACCATTCACCAGTCTTAGCCTCCTCTCCAGTGTTTGGGATCGGGGAGGTTGATTCCGGACAAAACTCATATGGACCTGCTCGGCAGACTTCCAAGAGGTCACTGAGTAGCGGGAGCTCACTAATACAGGTAAGTAATTTTCCGGTGTATGCTTCCTCCTAGCTTTCACTGGCTGTAAACTTAGGCGGAAAGTTCAGGTTGTTCGTCCACTTCTGAACTTTAGTCTTGATCCAAACCTTGAGTTGTGTGTGCACATCCATTTTTACAAATTTGACCTAATTGTATGCAGACTGTTGATTCCTTGCCTCTCAGGCAGATGCACTTCAACTTTGAAGGAAACACCCCTAATTAGTCAGCTTTTATGGCATGCTTGTTAAGGAGTGAAAGCAGTGGGTCTGTTTCACACATACACATATCACCCCTCCCCCGGGACCTCACACACACACACACACACAGACAATGAGGCCCTGTAACTTAATGAGCAAAATCAAATACTTTCAGTAGAAATAGTCTAATTATTATATAATCTGATTATCCATAAGTATGGGTCTTCAGTGGTTTTTTAATGTTTCAGCCTCATGCATGTTGATTTCATGTTTTGTTTTTTTCATGTTGTTGAAAGTGCAATGGAACAACTTTGCAGTTGCATTGCATCATCATAAATTAAACTCTAGTTATCTGAAACAAGTAGCTGAGCTTAATGTGTTGTTTAATGCCCCAGTGTAATTTGGCCCTATACCTATGAGATCTTCCCTTGTGCACAGCTTCTTTATTACTTTGTCCCATTATATGTTGATAAGCAGAGGTCAGAAAATATTACTAGTGTATGCCTTTTATGCCCCGTATGGGTTCTGGGGCCCCTTTGTGAGGAAAAAACAAGAATAGACTCTATTGAATGTCATTAGAGTTGACTATTTTGGAACATACTTTGAAGACGGAGTGCAGGAGTGCATCTGCCCGAGTGGCAGTGAACAGTGAACTGCACACAAATAAGCCAGTAAAAGTGTACATGCAAAACTCAGACCCTGACACAAAGCCAAAGTCCCGATGAATGAACAGCCAGGACTTTCTGTCAAAGTTTATACAGCTGGTGAACAAAGAAGTATGCCTGTTATTTTTCCAATTTCCCATGTGTGCTCCAGGGCCCAGATTTGTTGTGGGGGGAAGACCAACTGCTCCCCACCAACAAACAAACTTGTCATGAAGGTGACTAATTAGCGATTTACGACAATCAGATGTGTTGGGCTGAAACACGTACCTATTGCAGCCCTGCGGAATAAACCATAACACAGTGTGCCAACCACCAATTTAACACTTTGAGTACCACAAGGTTTTACCTAAGATGCCGATATGTATTTTAAAAAAAAAAAACAGTAGAAAAAAAGCTACATTTATTGCTTTCAATTACATTAAAAACTGGGAAAGCCAGATTTCTTAGTATGCTGTGACCAGCTTTGAAAAGGACTAGAACATATTACACGTGAGTTGCAGTTCACAGAAGTGCTAATCACATGTTATTTGAGACTGAAAGAGTTCAGGTTGAATGCTGAAGATGTTTTTTCGATTGCGTCTGTGAGTCCATCAGTTTTTCTTACCATGCTATAACACTTTTACTGAGCCACTGATATCTATCTATATCTCTCTCTCCTTCAGGAAATGTTAATGGCTCCCAACCTGTCAAGCCTTGCTGCCTCGGAAAGTCAGCCCAAACTGGCTACTCAAGACAGTGGTATAGGACACTGGCCAGCTGATTTTGAGGGCGGGATGCCCAGATTACCGACTGCGACTAAGCCCAGGGCACCTTCTTCCACACCTCCATCCAAAAATGAGGTGAATTATCTTTTCTTTTGTTTGTTGTTCAGTTATAGTGAAGCTCATGTATATTAACTGCTACGATTGTTCCTTTAATCATGTGAGTTCCATGGTTCCATTCTGGAACTCACTACCCCCTCTAAGAAGCATGTAATAGGTGAGTATAGGAGTGTTTCTTTGAAAGTCAGAGTGCATATGCCTGAGAACCAACAGTCTGCATACATATGGATCAGGTCTGTAAAGTTGATGTACACACAGAACTCAAGTTTTGGGTCAAGACCAAACTCAAGGAGTGGATGAACAACCAGGACTTTCCACAGGAGTTTACAGGAGTTAACTTAGTTCATTTAGTTCATAAACTTCATAATAACATTCTTAAAATTAAGTAGACTAAAAGTAAATGAAGGACACATTTGACACCTGTGGTGCTGTATGGCTGGTCTAATTCTTCTTTTCGTTTCTCCCTGCCAGTGGTTTTCAGGTGAGAAGGTCACAGGCTTCTGTGAAGACTGGGTGCAGCACATGCCTTCTGTTGTTCTATACAGTTTGGTTCACATATTCAGTATTCTCTGGTGCCTGTCCACGTGGACACATTTATGAATTCCCAATCTTGATTTTCTGGAACATATGGCTGCATAGTCTGTTGGTCTGAACTTCTGGCCAAAATGGAGGACGGCTTGGCAGAATGTTAAGCTTCTGGGTTATTTTTGCTTCTGACAGCACTTGGCTAATGCAGTTTCCACATAAGGATGGTAGTCTACGGTTTAGCTGCCTGAGCTACTGAGTTTAGTGTTTGGTTGCAGCCCTGTGAGCTGTGTTTTTCCTGTCGAATGCCTTTCATTTGTGCAGCGGCTGAGTGGTGGTATTCAATATGGCCGGTAGCCGGTTTACATGTGAGCTGGTGAAATACATTGTGTAATAATTCTGTGTGTGTATAGTAACCAACTTATCGTGCCCCATTACTTCCATCAAGGACAAACTGAATTTTTGGTGGTGATTGTTTGCTTTGGCGCCTCTAGCAACTGAAATACCCATTTACTGTGTGCGCCTATTTCTGGATTGTTCTGGGGCTAGTTGTTTGTTCACCAGTTCTTTAAATGCGACAGTGAGGGACCTTTCATTTGATTCGCACTGGCACAGGAACGGAACAAGTATGGGGAAACCCGATTGTGGTGATGTTGAAACCTTTACTAAGACTAAGTCTGTTGGTCTAGTACATAGTGTAAATATAATGGTCTGTATCTTTTGTGTGAGGAGGTTGATTTGGTCTCTGGATTGTTTCCTGGATAAGAAGTACATGAACTCTAAACAAAAGAGATTTTTTAACAAAGTTTTGGAAGATTTAGGAATTTGATGTTATTGCAGGATGCAAAGAATAAGCTGGACAGAAAAGTGATCACATGGATAAGTTCTTAAACACATTCGAGAAAACATAACTGTTGGAAATTATACCAAATAATATAAAGAAGACAAGATCTTGGCTTGATCAAAATATGAGGCTTAATGGTCTGTAAACTCACTGCAGGTTCATTCATAGCTTCATATGTGACTGTTTTTCTTAAACTCTTGTTTCATCTAGTTCTCAAATTAATCCACTTTATCCCAACGTATGGTGCTATGTTCATTAATTTATAGACTATTCGGCACTTTTCGTTGGCTGGGTCACACCTGGAGAATGGAGGATGGCAAAGTCCCTAAGGACATCCTTTATGGTGAATTAAAGACAGGAAAAAGATGTCGAGGCCGACCTTTACTACGTTATAAAGATGTGTGCAAGCGGGACATGAATGATACAGGTATTGAGGCAGACTCATAGGAACAAAATGCCATGGACCGTGTTGTGTGGAAAGGGCATATCAGGAAGGGAATGAGAGTGAAGGAAGAAATGATTGCAGAAAGGATGAGAGCTGAGCGCCTGAAAAGAAACGGATTAAACACAAATGTTAACAATGGTCCTGAAATCCCATGCTATCATTGTGGAAGACTTTTCTTGACACGGGCGGGTCTTGCTAGTCACACTCGCCATCTCTATGGGCTGTGAGTCTCATGCCTCCTCATAGCGCAGTATAAAACTATCGTTTGGAAAGACGGAAAGGTGGCAGTGAATAAAGTCGGCACTCCATGGGTAACATGGAACTAGGTGTTTATTTCTCTATAATTTGTTCAGGTATTTTTGATTTGGTTTCACAGAAAATTGGGTGGGAATGTCCCATGTGTACGTTCATCAATTTACCGATGCGGCCAGGGTGCGAGATGTGCTCTGGACCAAGACCTTCTAATTACAAAATTCCTTCCGACTACAATATGACCCCCGAAGAAGTTTTGCTGCTGGAGAATGACAAGCGCTTGGAGATGATGACCAGAGAGGTCAGTGTATTGTTTTGGAAATATTTTGCTTTTATTTTGTTCCCTCTAAATCAGTCGCCATCCCCGCAGTGATGTTTGGCTGCAATGGTTCTTCCAACAAGCTCTGCCGTTTGTCTTTGGTTTTTGTTTCCTATATTGCTTTTATTTTGTTCTTCCAGTTGTTTTGTTTGCTGGGTGTTCAATTCATTAATTTGTTGTGATAATCTCTTTGCTTTATTTAACCAAATTGCATATTTTGTGTTGTGATGATAGGTAGATATTCTTCGGTATGTTGTGCGAGATATGATAGCAAATATCAGATAGAAATAGCGATGAACATTCACATAAACTAGACAATACCATTCTGAATTACTGTGACAACTGCATGATTGTTAACCTATCACCCCAAGAAGCCTGAATCTAGATACTTCTAGTTTTGACACAGACCCTGTAAATGCTGATGTATTGACACTTCTGCACTGACGTATTCTCAAAAAGCATAATTAAATGCCTTTAGCTTTTTTTGCACCTACAACATTGATTAACTGGGATATGTATATTAAAAGGGGTAGGGGGTGTCTGGTGAACCTAATAGCTTTTCTTAAAGCCTTTATGACAACATAATTTCCTGTGGCCTCGGTGGTAGGCGTCGAGGATTGAGTCACCTGATTTATAAATATATCTGTTTTTCGACCCTGGGGTATGTAATCCATTGAATGCTTTGCTCTGTGTTTATTGATTATTCCCTACACCAAGCCTGCTTTTATGAAAAGACCTTGTGCATGATGATAAAGACTGAGATGGAAATAGTTTGTGTGAGAGATAGAGACTGCATAAGATGGAAATAGTTTGTATGTGAGAGATAGAGACTGCATAAGATGGAAATAGTTTGTATGTGAGAGATAGAGACTGCATGAGATGGAAATAGTTTGTATGTGAGAGATAGAGACTGCATGAGATGGAAATAGTTTGTATGTGAGACAGAGACCATGAGATTGAAACAGTTTGTGTGTGAGAGATAGAGACTACATGAGATACATGTGCTTTAACTGTCATTATGATGTCAGCCTGATGTCATGTGCTTAACTCTTGAAATCCTTAACAACATATTGACAGGTTACAAGACAAAGGAATAGTTATTGTAATTTATATCATAATTTTTAAGTTTTCATTTGAACTCCCCTCATATATTCTGCTTGTACCTTAATTATATGATTAGGCAGCAGACTGCTCTGCATTAATTTAAAACTTATACTTTGACCATTCAGAAAGGAATAGCAAACTACTCAAACTAAAATTACCTATGAAAACCACCAAAAAGTCCCAGAATGGTGGGATTGCTTCTGCAAACAATCTGTAGATTGCGCCAGCTGGAATCGAACCAGGTATTTCAGAATTACAAAGTAATTGACTACGCAGCAGATGCTAACATTGTATCTCATAATGAAACAAATATTTTCACTGTCTATATTTAACATTTTTTAGAACAGTGCAGGACATATTGAATTTTGAGCCTGAGAATTATCATGGCTGGTGCTGTTGCCACAGACTGTGCAAGCTAGGATTTTTATTTGGTAGCCTACCATCATCATCATTTAGCAGGTCCTTTGCAATACCTCACTCTTATCACAGTCTGTCTGAAAGAAAGTCTCTCGCCAGCTCTCAGGCCTCATGCACTTTCATACCCAAAGAGTCGCATATAACCTATACCCATCTTCAAGTTGGTCTGCCCCTGCTCCTCCGTCCTGGCAACATGCCTTCTATTTTGTTCTAATCCGCTGTGGTGCTTAAAATGGCCAAAATATTTTAGCCTCCATTGCTGTTTATCAGCCAGTCTTCATTGATGTTCAGATCTTTCGAATGTCAGCAATTCCTTTCTTCTTTGTCCATGGTTTTCTGAGAATCCTTCTACAGCATTTCAGCTCAAAAGCCCCATTTCCCCCGGGGAAGATGCATTCTCTTAAAATGTGAACTTTGCTTTTCTTGCTGATGCTTAACCATAGAATTTTAATGCTGTTTAATCTTTGTATTGTTGCGACCATCTTCCTTTTGAACAGTCTCCATTGATGTTTATTAATGGGGGCCCAGGTATTCAAAAGTTTGTAGGCTTACATGTGTGTTAAAAAAAATAATTTACTAAGCAGTGTAGCAGTGTTGGCATGCGGTTGGTTACACCATATGTGAATAGATCAGGGGTTCTCAGTTTAGTGAGCCTGTGGAGCTCTCTCATTTTCAGAGGTCTGTCACAGACCCTATACCTTTTTAATAGTCGTACTGTAAAGCATATTTTAATTTTCAAAATATTAAGCTCACAGATAAGATTGTAATCTGAAAAGTTTGAAGTGTTTTCTTTTGCAAATATTATTATTTTTTTCTTCACTTTCTCTTTTACCGATTTGGGTTGTCGAGGGTGATATAAGATTTTGCTATAAGATATAGAGATTGCTTTGAATGATGAATAAAGAATCTACATTATAGCACTCGGGACCCTCCCTTAAGCGCTCAGTCCCCATCTTCAGCAGCAAATGAAGAGTTGCAAATCTGATGGCACTAGCAACTGTCTGATTGTTTATCGGTCTCGCCTCTCCCTTGAGTGTTGAGCATCGGCCAGATCCCTTGTTAACTCCTCGCAGCGCCATTCTCCTCAGACCTTAATGATCTGTTTGCGCTTCCTCACTGTTCACTTGCTGCCAGAGGGCCCTCACAACATCTAGCTTGTCATACATCAGTTCACCACAAAGTGGTGCATAACTGGCTAGTCTATGTGCCTACTCATTTCCCAACACACCGGCATGACCTGGAGAGAAAATCCAAAGGATGCTAACTAACCGGGACCTCTGAAGTGATGCTTGCCACTTTGCAGGGTGCATACCTCTCTCCATCTTTCTCAACATGCTGTGTGAGTCAGTTACAATTTGCTAGGACTGGGTGAAGTATGGAGCGGCCTTATGTCAAAGGACTGCTACGAAAGCCACAGAAGCCATCCTATGTGACCCTGAAACGCCCTGGCCAACGGGACAGGCCTAGCAAGCTGGCAATGGATTTCTTATCACTAATAAAAACAGTGAGAATAATATCACTGACCACTTAAATTTTGTTTTGCTGACAACCAGGGTTCCAGAAACCATCTTATGGGAAACACTGAAATAGATGTTATGCACGCTGTTTAGTTATGCTGTGTAGTCATGATGGTCAGTGATCTTATGCTGCATGTTTATGGGTAAATGTGACTGGCATTTTGTGTGCTTTTCCTTGGGCTCAGGGACGTAGCAGTCATGGGGTGATCCATTCGCCCTGAAGTTGAAACCTTGATAGAATAGTTGGTCAGTCAGTCAGTAGCATGTCCTTTGCAGAACTTTGCTCCCATAACAATCCTCCGGAAAACTTCTCGATTACAAGCAAGATGTTCCGCGTCTGATACACCCATCTGGAGATCATCTACCACATCCTGCACCCATCTTCTCTTTGGCCTTCCTCTTCCTCTCTTCCCAAGCATATACCCCTCCATTATTGTTCTCTCTAAACTTTCGTGACGTTTAAAGTGACCAAAATATATAAATTTTCTGTGTTTTATTTTCTTTTAATAGCCAACCTTCTTCAGTATCTATTTCTTGAAGTATGGATGCATTTGTTCTTTTATTTACCCATGATATTCTTAGAAACCGTCTGTAACATTTGTGTTCAAAGGCATTTATGTTGAATTAAAAATCGACATCACAGCACTTGGGACACCCCCATAAACGCTCCGCCCTCATCTCCAGCAGCAAGCGAAGAGTTACAATTCCGATGGTACCCGTAACTGTCTGATTGTATATCTGTCTCGCCTTTCCCCTGAGTGTCAAGCGTCGGCCAGAACTCCTCCCCAGACCGTAATGATCTTCTGTTCCTCAATACTGTTCAATCGCTCCCTAAGGGCCCTCACAACATCCAGCTTGTCATCCTACATCAGTTCACCACCAAGTGATGCAGAACCATCCAGGCATTTATGTGCTTGTTTAGTAAGTCTTCTTCTTCAGCGATCTCTGGTCATGCGCATAATCCACTGTGGGTCATAAACTGGGATGTCTTTTCAAGGTCTCTTAGGTTTCCCCAAAGCTTAGTTGTCAGTTCTACTGGGTGTTGCCATATGTCGCTCCGCAGCTCCGCCAGGAGAGGACAGTCTTGCAGGACATGTTCTGGAGTCTGTTCAGCACGAAGACACTGGCAGAGAGCTGTTTGGCTCATACCTAATTTATATGAGTGTTTATTGAGTCTGCAGTGTCCAGTGCGTAAGCGAAAAACTGTGACTTGGTCTGTTCTGTTCAAGTGCCTCAGAAAATCTTTTCCGTAGTCATAACCAGTGTGTTTAGTAAGTGATAGAATTAGATTTTTTTTTCCTGTTCAGCATGAAAAATAAATTGACATCTAGTGACAGCAGAAAAATGAGAATTGTCAATTGTTATGGATATTCAGACATACTATATGACACAGAAATATGGATGGTAAATCAGCAGTTAGAAAATTTGAATTGAACTCCTGGAGTTGCGGCAATTGGTATATAAATTTCACAGAAACGTAAATAAATACAGAGGGATTAGAAAGACGGAATGGAAGAAATTATGTTGAAATGAACACAAAGGAGACAAGTGAAATATTCTGGCCATATTAAAAGACACACAGTTATAAAACCAATACTGGAGGAACCCAAATGGACAGACACAAATTAATGTGACAGTCTAGGACAGAAAGAGTTAAAAGTAATCAAATTTTTTTTCAAATGATTTTTCGCTGTATCTAATTTTTCATTAAAAAAAAAATATTTTTTTAATAACTAGAATGACTTTGAAACTTGGCTATTTCTTTTACTGCAATTTTTGAAAAAAATCTTTTACTTTTTCTTCTTCGTCGTGTTTTCTGGATGTAAACTGCAACAAAATTTTAGTTTTTCATCCGCTTCTGAACTACAATTTCTCCCACAGAGTTTTGCGTGCACATACATTTTACAGATCTAGCTTATTTGTATGCAGACTTTTTGTTATTCACCTCTCAGACAGACGACCCCACGCTAAACCTTCCTCCGTTTTTATCTGGACTTGGGACCGGCAGGGTAGTTTATTGGTTTTTGTTTTAGTACTTAGTGTTCACCTCCATTAAGTACTGGTTTGACATTTAGAGTTGAATAATTTGTTTGACACTTATTTTAATTGATTTCTATAGCTCTGCTTCGATCCTTCTGTCAGAAAACTTATATCAGGAGGCCGGTAACCTTTATGAAAGTTATCGCACAGTCCACTTCCTCTCGTGTACCATATATACAGCTTTGTCTTCATTGTGGTTGGAACAGGCCAGATTGCGTCTCTGTTGTCAGCATAGAGTTGACAGTGTTGGAGCACATGCTCAGCATTTTTGGGCATCTCCATGTTTCCTACACCGAAAAGTTTAAACAAATGTTGACGAAGTCTGTTGTGCCCTGTTCTTAGTCTGAATATCGTACATGATTTCTACAGTAAAAGACTTACTCACCACGTAGAACCCGGGTTTGTGAAGTGTTATCTAAATTTATCTAGGGGCTGAAAAATACATTTTTCAAAATTTGTAAATTGGCTAGAAGATTTAGGTAAAGAATAAAACAATTAATAATGTTGAGTTTTAGTTTTTCAGATAATCTTTATTCATTTCTAATTCTTTACTATTTCATTCCTTTTTCATTAATAATCTTTATTCAGTAATCTTTCTTCATTCTATCTATAAAAGCCCCTTTTGTAAAATTAACATAAGCTTACAAGAGTTGGTGGTACAGTAATATGTTGTTAGGTAATCAGCTGCTATTTTGTTTATCTGTAGAATTATTAAGAAGGATTTCTGACATTATTCTGTCTGTGTGTTACAGGCAACACCATCAGACAGACTTGCGATGTTTTCACAACAGCCAGACTTTTTTGCCCAGCACAGGGACCAACAGATAAATGGAATCATGAACAATAACAATATCGTCACTGAAAACCATTGGGATTCTTCAGTCAATAATCAGTTAATTGACGATGAATACATTTATGTACCCAACGGATCCGACTGGACTAATGCACAAGAAGTGGCATTGAGCGCGAGTCCCAGCTTTGAAGTTGAGACCAGACCACAGCAGCATAATTCTCGCTGGGGTCAAAACTCCAGGAGAAGTCTACCGGTTGCTGCCCCACCACCATACCCTCAGCAGCTGCAGCCCAATGTGCAGGCAGCAAAACGCAATTCGATTGCATCTCATTTAATAAACTTTTTGTCCCAGAACGCAACACAACATGAATCCTCCGTGGACAATTAAACTTTAAATGAAGCATTGCTAAAATGTTTCAACACACCTGCAGAAATGTCAGAAATTCTTCATTGTTGCCGGCTTGGCTTACATTCATTTTGTCATTGTATATTTATGGAGCTACTGATTCTGTGTTGTGCTTTATTATTTGCTGATCCCTGTTTAGATTCTGGGCCTTCATTTTTTTTAGGGTGGGGGGGGGGGGGGGGGGGGGGGACAATAGATGCACTGCCCACCCCAAAAAGCGTGTTGTAAAAGTCAACTTAAGTAGGGGGGTTTCCTTCGAAATCAGATCAGAGTGCATCTGCTTGAGAGGCAGGGAACTAATGGTCTGCTTACAAATAAGCCAAATTTGTAAAACAGATGTGCACACAAAACCTCTGGAACAAGATAAAAGTCCAGACGAACAGCCAGAACTTTACAGCTGGCAAATGCAAAGAAGAAGAAATTATTATTTGCTGTTTCAGGCAATGGCTGTCAGGTAGTATTTTTTTTTTTTTTAGAACATCTCTGATCAAGACCCACTTAAAAGACTTTTGAACATTTGCCAGTTCTTTGCCTCATATATTTTCACTTCTAGGGTGTCTTTAACATCGCATGTCCACATTTGTGTTGGTTGACTCCTGCCTTTTCTTCCAGAAACATTTCCTTCCACCTCTGCTGTTTCTAAGCCACTGTGATATTTAATACTGCCAAAGTATGGCAGTTTTAGAACAGGGTTCAGATGTAGATTGTAAATATTGTTTTCAGATTTGGTATTCTAAGAATCTTTCTGTAACATTTAAGTTTGAAATCCTAGAGTTGAGAATTTGCTTTTAGAAAGTTTTAATTTCACCCAAGTTCTAGGTTCTTAATTTAAAAAAAAATAAACGTCTAACCTGGACAGTCCTTGCCTACTGCAGTAGCCATGTGATCCTAAAGAGTGGTTTCAAACCGTCTTCAGGTAGCGCTCCCTTGAATATATGACAAGGCCCTCCATAGACACACATGCAGTCCCCCCTTCCCGAAGCATAACAGAATGTGCTTAAAAAAAGAGGAAGAAAGTGTTGTTAATGTATATTTAAATGCATGTGTTATCATATTGATTAGATTTTTTTTATCAGTAGATGTAGAAACTGCTCATGGCATTAAAAATGACTTTTGTTGTTGTCAAGAATATGAATTGATGACATTAAAGACCTTGCACTTTCACATGGAATGACAAGGTCCAATGCCCTGGACCACAAACTGTACCTTCCGACAGTGTGATGTGAAAAAAGGTGCCCAGGAACAGAAACGTTTCGGCAGTAGTCTATATCAACAAAAACCACAACAAAGGGGGAGATTATTCTGGCTTTTATTGTTGTGGTTTTTGTTGATAAAGACTGCTGCTGAAATGTTTGATTGTTCCTGTATACTTGTTTTTTCCCTTCCCGCCGTCAATAAGCTTATCAGTTGCTGTTTGACATTATGCTGACAACAGAGACGCAATCTGGCCTGTTCCAACCACAATGAAGACAAAACTGTATGGTACACGAGAGGATATGGATTGCACGATAGCTTTCATAAAGGCTACCGGCCTCCTTATATAAGTTTTCTGACAGAAGGATCGAAGAAGAAGAAGAAGAAGTTGCTGTTTAATGGATATTATTTTCTTGGTACTATCTTGACTGCAGGGACCTCTGTTTTTATTCACTTTTGTTTCCTATCACCTTCCAACAGTGCCTAATGGCAACAATTGAAGCTGATGATGATGATATTTGTAAAGCATTTCTTCTGACAAACACTTAACCCTGAAACTAGCACTATGAAAGTTCAAAAGAATAGAGTAAATGTTAAATGATTCATGCACTAGTAAAGTGTACAATGATTTCTGTGAAGGTGATATTTACAATGATTGCTTCCTGTGGGGTTTCTAGGGCCCTAATTTTGTGGGGGGGGGGGGGGTGGTTTATATCCACTGCTTGTTGAGAATCATCTCATAAAAGCGAGTATTAAGATTTGCTGAAAACTGTCTTTTTTTTAAAGGACAAACACAGAAAACAGAGACAATGGTTGACATGAAAGAAAAATTTGCTGTGGAAGTAAATTATACAAGGATTGATGTGAAAGTGACATAAAATGTTTGCAGCAAAAGTGATGTAAAATCTTCTTCACATTTACCAGCTGTAAACTGTGTGGGAAATTTTAGTTGTTCATCCAGTTTTGGACTAATAGTCTTTCCCCCCAAAGAACATGAGTGTTGCGTGCACATCTGTTTTACAAATCTGACTTCATTGTAAGTAGATTGTTGATTCCTGGTCCCTCATGCAAATGCACTCTGCTTCGATGGAAGCTCCCAATTAAGTTGACTCTTATGACATGCTTTTTAGAAGGCAGCCCACAAAAGGGCCCCGGAATCCACACGTGAAAGGGACATAAAAGGATTGTTGTAGAAGTGACATATTCAGTGATTATTGTGAAAGTTACACACTCAGTGATTGTTGTGAAAATGACATACAATTTTTGCTGAGGAAGTTGACATATACAATAGTTGTTGTGAAAGTGACGTAAAAGGATTTCTGTGAAAGTGACATTTACAATGATTGCAGTGTGACATATACAGGAACTTCATTGACTTTACAGGACATCTAAAATTATCGACGCACATGTGATATATGCATAGATTACTGGGGGGGGGGGGGAAGAAATGGGGGGGGGGGGGTAAATGATTTCACAGTGAAAAAAATCTGCCTCCTAAAATTGACATTTGAATTGATTGTTTTGGAGGGTTTAAAACTCCTAATTATACTGTATTTATCAGTTCCATGCCTGCCTTTTGTTCTCTCTGGCGAGTTATGATTTTTTATGCCGGTGATACATGGTTACTTCCTATTGTAATTTTTTTGCAAGTGTTAATTCCTCTTGTACCCTTGGGAGCATAGGCTCTCAACTATTCATAAGCTGTCCTGTCGATTGCCATCGCTTACAGCTCACGTGAGATCCCGCCTATCTTCTTATTTATGTGCTTCAAATTCTGTACAAATTTTTACAACTGTTTTTGTTTATGTTCTCCTTAATTTATTTTAGCTGTATGGTTCCACTGCAAGAGCATTAATGTGTGATGTTAGTTAAATAAATACCTACATAAGTATATGTTTCTGGGTTTACTTTGAGGTGATAATAGACAGGAAACATAAATAATAATAGGAATGGCCTGAGAATTTTCAACATTAAAAATATTAACTAATAAAAATATACAAATGTTTATGCAGCGTTGTCTGTTTAAAACTGGGTTATGTGATTTGCCAGGTGTTTTTTTTTTGTTAATGTTGATTAAAATAACAGTTAAAATATAAGAGACATTGGCATTCAGTCAGATAAAGATTACTGTACATAATGGTTAGTTAGTTGAGAGGATAGACTTCATTGCAGCGGATTATCCCATATCACTCGGCTCTTTCCACAGAAAGGCCTGCTACCTGCTGAAAGTGTCACTCAAAGCACAAACTCGGTAGCTTTAGTAACTATTCCCAGGAATCTCTGTTTAAATCTGCACCAAGGAACTGAACAATGCGTCCATGAAATGAACACATGAGCTTAAAGAGCGTAAGGCAAAAATAGAATCCTAACCTGCCCAGTGGTGGCGACAGCACTAATCCTACGGCCCTCGCCTCAAAGACCTCCCTGCTCACACCACAGAAGTGGTCAATACAGACAGTTGTTGGCAGTTGGCACCTTAACCGCCTTTTCCAGACGATAAGTGTCCATTGGGCTACACAGAGGCAAGGAAACCACAGCCCAGTATGGGACCACTTAACTCATTCAGTCCCACTTAACTCATTCAGTCCTAGTTAACCCACCATAGGTTTACTGTTACTGCTTATATAATATGCTTTTTTTCTAAACACTTTATTCCCCAAGTAACTGTTAAAATAACCTGTGTTGACCCAAATGTTACTTTAACCCTTTTTGATGCATTAGCTAGCTATTTCAGCAATTCTAAATCTAAACAACTATTCATCATCATCAAGTGCCCTGCCGACTGGCGTAGGCGCTCATGCATCTCCACAGATCATGATCCCTGGTTGCCTGGAACAGCTCTCTTGATGTTATCCCTCCATGCCATCGTTTCAGCCCATCCAGCATCATCTCTCTTCGTCTGCCTCTACCCCTCTTTCCACTGATCTTTTCAGTTGTCAGGATGTTCTATAATGTCTCTCTTCTCATTATGTCTCCAAAGAACAGTGTTTGTCCCTTTCTTATTGTTATATATAGAGATCTGCTTTCATTAGCTTCTTTCAAACAATCATTGCTAGTTACTCTGGCCGTCCAAGGTATTTGTAACATTCGTCTCAGAAACCACATGTCTGTTGCTTCCAAATTCTTCCCAATTTGTTGACTGACATTCCAACATTCGCTGCTATACAGCAGACCAGGTTCAAGGTTCTATGTAATATTTTAGCACCCATATTTTTCAATTTCTAAATTGCAGCTTTCGTTTGACCTATTCTGCTTTTAATCTCTGTCACACATTTTCCATCTGATGATGTGATTGTTCCCAGATATTTGAATTTATTGACTTGGTTACATTTTTTTCCTTCAATTAAGATATCATAACGTGGAGTTATCTTCTTCTTTGATATTTCAAAACAACTATTATTGTAGGTAAAAAAAATAATCTTAGGAGTCATCCAGTTAATTGATACCTGCCTGGGACTGAAAGAGTTCAGGCCGGAATGAAATCCCTGCCTCTCCACAGCACAACACCCGAGCAATTCACATATTCGGGATCAGTATTCTTCAACCTTTTTACATCTGTGGCCCACCGAAACAGGGGGAAATTGTTTCGCTGCCCAACAGATACATAGAAACACAAAAGACCTGATTTAAAGCCATGTTGATTTCTTGCGCGTGTGGATTCCATGTGAGATCCTGAGGTAAATCCTCCACTAGGAATGAACCACACTCGGACATACAGTTCCACTTTCTTTGACTTCTTGGCTGCAACTCTTTGGAGCTCAGTCTCCTAACAACAATGTGTAACACTTATGGCGTCCTGTTTGCGCTATTTAATATTGGTGTGTTTTAGTGCGTGGCCTGCATGGAGACCTCCCACAACACACAACAAGTTAGTTGCGTATCATTTACAGGACGTTGTAGAACCAATCCTAGCATGTTTTGGCTGTTGTGGTTTTTCTAGACAAATTTTATGTTCAGTAATTTGCCACTGCCCTCTGAACGGTAAATTCTTGGTACCACTGTCAAAACCAACACAAGACAAACCATCTGCAGCTGGGATTGAACCTAGCACCCTGGCATTACAAAGCGCGTTCGCAACGCCTAAGCCACAGACGCCGAACTTCATGTTTTAAAACGTGATTAATTAGTTGTTTGCTGAGATCTGATGTGTTTGGCCTGTAAGGCATAAATATTGCAGCCTATCTGTAAACCACAAGTCGCGCCAACCACCTTTTTGAATGGTGAATGAAGAAGAAGAAATTATTCTGATCAGCCCTGAACAAGGGATGTGGTCAATGTCACGCTTTCTAGGAAACTTCAGGCTAGGTCAGCCCAATTGGGAGGTAACTGAAGCAAGTCAGAGATTTTAAAATCGGAATGAAAATATACTTCAAAGGAGCATTTGTCTATCAGGCTTGTGTTCTTAGCACTCTTCTGGACGGCAGTAAAACTAGGTCAGGTCAGCTTATTTGCATCAAGAGAGATAGATAAAGTAGCTTTCACGTGTGATGTCTGTGAAGAATACTTGGCATTAAGTGGCCAGACAAGATCGCAAACACTAACCTATTGAAAAGAGCAGATATGACAAGTCTTCTTCTTCTTCTTCATGTTCACCAGCTGTTAACTCTGGCGGAAAGTTCTGGTTGTTCATCCACTTCTGGACTGCAGTCCTGTTCCAGAACCTGAGTGTTGTTTTTAATGCTCAGTGTCTGAAGGCTCAGGTGACTGGGTCAGACATGGAGAACAGAGAATGATAGAGAGCCTAAGGACATCCTGTATGGTGAATTACAGATGGGTAGAAGATGTTGAGTCGGCCTCTACTACAGTAAAATGATTCAGGACATGAATGATACAAGTACTGAGGTAAATTTGTTAGAACAAATGACAAAGACAGTGTTACATTGGAGGGGGGAATCAGGAATGGGAATCAAGAAAAAATTAATTGCAGAAAGGTTGAGAGCTAAAAAGAAGCAAATATAAGATGGCAACAATTTCGGGATAGATGGAATGATGGCATCAAAAACAGTCTTACAGAAATGAACATCAGTCTTAATAGTGCTCTTGATAGCTCATCAATGAATGTTACATCTCCCCCCCCCCCCCCCCGACACTTGGATGAGGTGGAAGAGGAGAGAAGAAGAACAACAACAACGATCCTGAAATCCCATGCTGTAATTGTGGAAGACTTTATGTACACGGGCAGGTCTTGCTGGTGACACACGCTAATGACATGGGTTGTGATTCCCATGTTACCCCCATAGCACAGTATAACGTTATCGTCTGGAAAAATGGAAAGTTGCCAGCAATAACAAAATGCTCACCACCTTTGGGACTGGTAGATCACCGAGAAGTCCCAGCCTGGAAGGTTTAAACACATTACCTCCTTGCTAACAGGCACCAAACTACTCTGGCTGCTAAACTGTACTACCTTGTCTGCCAAACTGTACTACCTTGTCTGCCAAACACTACATGACTGTGAAGCAAATCACTAGAGATGCAGCTTCAGTTCCCTGTCCACATTGCTCAAGAACGGTCAGTGCTGGAATTGACCTTATCAGCCATCTGCACTCTCACAAAACCTAACTCAGTCACCACTGGATGAAAGGACTGGTCATCATCACTTGCGATGGATGAACAACATAAACACGACAGTAGCTAAACAGCGCTATCTTCGTTGTCCAGATGGATGAACAACATAAACACCACAGTAGCTAAACAGCGCTACCTTCGTTGTCCAGATGGATGAACAACATAAACACCACAGTAGCTAAACAGCGCTACCTTCGTTGTCCAGATGGATGAACAACATAAACACCACAGTAGCTAAACAGCGCTACCTTCGTTGTCCAGATTGCTGAACAACATAAACACCACAGTAGCTAAACAGCGCTACCTTCGTTGTCCAGATGGATGAACAACATAAACACCACAGTAGCTAAACAGCGCTACCTTCGTTGTCCAGATGGATGAACAACATAAACACCACAGTAGCTAAACAGCGCTACCTTCGTTGTCCAGATGGATGAACAACATAAACACGACAGTAGCTAAACAGCGCTATCTTCGTTGTCCAGATGGATGAACAACATAAACACTTCAGTAGCTAAACAGCGCTACCTTCGTTGTCCAGATGGATGAACAACATAAACACCACAGTAGCTAAACAGCGCTACCTTCGTTGTCCAGATGGATGAACAACATAAACACCACAGTAGCTAAACAGCGCTACCTTCGTTGTCCAGATGGATCAACAACATAAACACCACAGTAGCTAAACAGCGCTACCTTCGTTGTCCAAAACTATACAGTGTTGCCTGTAAAATCACTCAATAAATTAGAATGATCCCCATTTGTATATGATTAAATAGCCAGTTATCTTCCACACTGTGTGGCTCTTTAGCTTTGAGGTTGATGAAATTGTTTCACAATGCAATTCTTTTTTTTTTTTTTTTTTTTACCAATACCCACATTGGTCAGTTTAGAAAAAGTATGTTCTCTTAACTTCAGTGTTACAAGAATCACACTGTGGAAGAGATTGGGAACTCACCATTCTTTGCATCCTGCAATAACATCTTCCAAGACTTGAAAAAAATTTTTTTATGTTTAGAGTTCATGTACTTCCTTTCCAGGAAACAATCCAGAGACCAAATCAACCTCCTCACACAAAAGATACAGACCATTATATTTACACTGTGTACTAGACCAACATACTTAGTTGAGGTTTCAACATCATCATGTAATCCCACAGAATGGGATACTTTGCAGCCAGCCTTTATTGTGCAGACGGCACAATTATATTTTAATCTTCCTCACTACTGGTCAGTTAGACTATCTGTTATAACTTCATACCTATGTCCTTCTGCTTACATGTGTATAACAGATGAAGAACCTATGGCACAGCACCTGCAAACAGATTAAAGTTAAAATGTTAAGATCGTGCTTCTATGTGAATCATAGACTTTTCTTCTTCTGCCTTTCTATCCTCCAATGAAGCATAGACCCTCAACCCTCAAGTCATTCTATCCTTTACTGTTACATGGAGCTCTCCCCATGTCCTCCCCATCTTTCTAACTTCATTCTTCAGCTCTCTTCTCCGTGTGTTTTTGATCCTTTCTTTATTCCTATGCCCCTTGATCTTTAAAGAAAAAATTGGGGCTTTAAACTGATTTGCTACAAATTTGTTTTTCTTCGAATACTATAACCCCCCCCCCCCCCCCCCCCAAAAAAAAACACACAAAATTTCTATATATTTCATGAACATCGAGAATTGGCTCATAAACAGGATCCTATCCCAAAAGTTGAGGTATTTTATCTATGTTAAGCATTATGGTGGCCTTGAGAGTATGGTGATGGAGGGTGCACTTTCTGGAAAAACGAGGCAGAGGCTGACGTACAAGGTGAATACAAGCCACTGAAGATGCCTTGCCTGTGAAAGCGGAGAACTCTCTAGAGAAAGAGTGACTTTCAGACATGCCATATTGGGAGATGTTCTGTTCTGTACAGGACCTACTCAATGATGATGATGTGTATAACCAGCTTCTGTGTCATTAAAGTAAAGATTCCTTTTTACGCCTTTAGGTGCATCGGGCATATGGGAAGAGCATCCCATATTTTTACAGACCAATCGGCACTATATGGGTAATGTGGTCAGGATTACACTGACCGTCCTTACTTTCCCAAGACAGCCATCCTTATACCCATTTTAGGCTTGGTTGACCTGCGACACCCCATACCATGATAAAAATCCATGCAATACATCTTATGTAGTTTTTTTAAATATAAATCTTGCATCTTTATTTTAGGCTGAGCAGAGAGAAGCTCTGGAAAACTTTGAGCTGTTGATCGCTACTGAAAATCTAGACCTGATCCCGAACACAGAGGCCTTTCAGTGTCCTATATGTTTCGACGACATTGCTGTAGGCCAGGGTATTTTGCTGCGAGAGTGCTTGCATATGTTTTGTAGGTAAGTCTAAATTGTTTTTCAGAGATTAATCTTTGCTTTTCTTTTCCCCCTGTGTCTTCTTTCTCTTCTGGTCTTATTGAGTCTGAAAATATACTTTGTTGCAATGTGTGCATTTACAGAAAACCTGGGATATCGATAACTTAAATAATGCGGACACAATTCATTGCACATTTTATTGTGGGCATATTTCGCGGTATCTCAGTAGTACTCCTATGTCGAACCTGCCTTAAATGGGTTCTAGGTAAAGTCCTGAAAAGTGAAGCTAGCTGCCATATTGTTGATCACATCACCCACTGAGTGCCGATAGGTCTGTGAAAATATAGATTCAACACTATATGCCCAGGAGCCACCTAAGTGTAGTGGCCAGACACTCACCTGTCCAAATGTCATGGGTTCAGATCCGAACGGAGTTGGATTTTTTGTTGTTTCAAAAATTATCTTGGCCTCCAGATCAACCCAGCCTTAAATGAGTACTTGGTCAAGTCCTGGGAAGTAACAGTGGCTGGCCTGATGTTGACCGCATCGTCCACTGAGTGTAGATTGGTTTATAAAATACAGGTCTTGCACTATATACCCAATCAACCTGAAGGCCTAGAGAAGGGTCCTTTACTTTACATCAAGACTAAGGGAGGGCTAGAGTACATCAAGACTAAGGGAGGGCTAGAGTACATCATGAGTAAGGGACAGCTAAAGTACATCATGAGTAAGGGACAGCTAGAGTACATCATGAGGAAGGGACAACTAGAGTACATCATGAGTAAGGGACAGCTAGAGTACATCATGAGTAAAGGACAGCTAGAGTACATCATGAGTAAAGGACAGCTAGAGTACATCATGCGGAAGGGACAGCTAGAGTACATCATGAGTAAGGGGCAGCTAGAGTACATCATGAGTAAGGGACAGCTAGAGTACATCATGAGTAAAGGACAGCTAGAGTACATCATGAGTAAAGGACAGCTAGAGTACATCATGAGTAAAGGACAGCTAGAGTACATCATGAGTAAGGGACAGCTAGAGTACATCATGAGTAAAGGACAGCTAGAGTACATCATGAGTAAAGGACAGCTAGAGTACATCATGAGTAAAGGACAGCTAGAGTACATCAAGAGTAAGGGACAGCTAGAGTACATCATGAGTAAAGGGCAGCTAGAGTACATCATGAGTAAGGGACAGCTAGAGTACATCATGAGTAAGGGGCAGCTAGAGTACATCATGAGTAAGGGACAGCTAGAGTACATCATGAGTAAAGGACAGCTAGAGTACATCATGAGTAAAGGACAGCTAGAGTACATCATGAGTAAAGGACAGCTAGAGTACATCATGAGTAAGGGACAGCTAGAGTACATCATGAGTAAAGGACAGCTAGAGTACATCATGAGTAAAGGACAGCTAGAGTACATCATGAGTAAAGGACAGCTAGAGTACATCATGAGTAAAGGACAGCTAGAGTACATCAAGAGTAAGGGACAGCTAGAGTACATCATGAGTAAAGGGCAGCTAGAGTACATCATGAGTAAGGGACAGCTAGAGTACATCATGAGTAAGGGACAGCTAGAGTACATCATGAGTAAGGGGCAGCTAGAGTACATCATGAGTAAGGGGCAGCTAGAGTACATCATGAGTAAGGGACAGCTAGAGTACATCATGAGTAAGGGACAGCTAGAGTACATCATGAGTAAAGGACAGCTAGAGTACATCATGAGTAAAGGACAGCTAGAGTACATCAAGAGTAAGGGACAGCTAGAGTACATCATGAGGAAGGGACAACTAGAGTACATCATGAGGAAGGGACAGCTAGAGTACATCATGAGGAAGGGACAGCTAGAGTACATCATGACAACAGGAAATTTTGAAGGGAAGAGAGTCAGTAGGAGACCAACAAGGAGAATGTTGGACAGTTTGACATGTCATGGAAGAGCATACCAGAAATCATTCCCGGTGCACAAGGTTACAGACTTTTGACACACATGATGATCAGCGCCACACAGCATGGACTATAAGATAAAGATTGTATTATTGTATAATAACTTGACAGTACCATTTCTTAAGGCAACCGCATGGTGTGGCAACCAAACACATGAAGCTGGATTTTTTTTCTCTTCAAAAAGGGCCTTGGCTCTAGTTGACCCAGCCTTAAGTGGGTACCAGGTAATGGTCCTTGGAAGTAAAGGCTGCCTGCAGGATGTGACCATCACCCATTGAATGCTGACTGGTCTATAAAGATATGAGTTAATCCTCATTTGCCCAGTGCAGCACTGGAGTGCAAAGGGGAAAGGGACCTTTGCTTTTACTTTACTTACCATTTCCTGAGATAAACAGGATTGTAGTCTTATAAATGTAAGGATTTTCTAACATATGAAGCTCTGTGACAGAGCTATTTCCTGAAATAAACAGGATTGTATGTTTGTAAATTCCCAAAGATGAACTGGATTGTTTAACTGTACATTCTCAGGGATTGTCTAACGCAAGCAGTGAGGTTGTGTGAAGATGCCATCCTTAAGTGCCCTTTTCAAGATGAAGGATATTCATGTGAGAGTATACTGACGGAGAGGGAAGTTAGAGCAGTGAGTGAAACCAAATCTCTTTGTCAGATCATCATCATCATCATCATGTAGCAGGTCCTTTGCAGAACGTCACTCTCATCACATTTTAAATTTCTTCATCCTTTATTGTTATTTTTGGGTGACAGCCAGTTTTATCTCTGGGCATTTTTTCGTTTTCTTTAAATTCAAGAACAGATTTTTATCTTCAATGTGCTTTTGGACAGACAATAGTATATCATCAGTGAAACCAAATGTCTTTGTCAGATTATGAGTCAAACCAAATGTCTTTGTCAGATCATGAGTCAAACCAAATGTCTTTGTCAGATCATCAGTGAAACTAAATGTCTTTGTCAGATCATCAGTGAAACCAAATGTCTTTGTCAGATCATCAGTGAAACTAAATGTCTTTGTCAGATCATCAGTGAAACCAAATGTCTTTGTCAGATCATGGGTCAAACCAAATGTCTTTGTCAGATCATCAGTGAAACCAAATGTCTTTGTCAGATCATCAGTGAAACCAAATATCTTTGTCAGATCATCAGTGAAACCAAATGTCTTTGTCAGATCATCAGTGAAACCAAATGTCTTTGTCAGATCATCAGTGATACCAAATGTCTTTGTCAGATCATGAGTCAAACCAAATGTCTTTGTCAGATCATGAGTCAAACCAAATGTCTTTGTCAGATCATGAGTCAAACCAACTGTCTTTGTCAGATCATCAGTGAAACCAAGTGTCTTTGTCAGATCATCGGTGAAACCAAATGTCTTTGTCAGATTATGAGTCAAACCAAATGTCTTTGTCAGACCATGAGTCAAACCAAATGTCTTTGTCAGATCATGAGTCAAACCAAATGTCTTTGTCAGATCATGAGTCAAACCAACTGTCTTTGTCAGATCATCAGTGAAACCAAGTGTCTTTGTCAGATCATCGGTGAAACCAAATGTCTTTGTCAGATTATGAGTCAAACCAAATGTCTTTGTCAGATTATCATTTAGTCTAGTTAGTTAGTCAACAAATTATCCTCATTGCACATTGAACTATTCAATCTGTAAGTGTATACCTGCCTCAGTAAATCTTGCAGCGTGTAGCGGCTGACAACACCAGTTCTTTGTTGTTGTTTTTTTTCCCTTCTTTGGCTTTTTGTATAGTGCTCTTGTCTGGCCACACCCTTTTTAACTTGCTGTTCTTGCAGTCTAGTCAAAGTTGTTAATTCACAGTAACTTGGTTCCAACAAATGTCATAGTTCTCATTCAGTCTTTTCTCTTCTACCCTACGGCCAAGACAGAATGTTAGATTTTATTATAATTTGGCCAAATTACAAATTACGTACGTTTAGGACTGAGGGTTTCAATGTTACTCTTAGTTCAGAATATAATGCATATGTGGTCAGTGCTTTGTGCTGGCTGTGGTCGCTGCAATTACAAATTTAAAAACAAAATTTGAAAATCTAATTTAATCAAATTTAGCTTGAATTGTTCCTTATGTTGATTCATTTTATTTGTGTCATGCTGCTTTTATTAGTTTTATATTAAATATCCTTATTTGTGTAATGCATTGTTAATGGTTTTTATATTCAGTAATTTTCCCCTGTAGGTTTCAGGACCCCATTGTGGGGGAAACAAGAATAGACCCACTGCCTCCCCAACTAGCATGTTGTAAGAGTCGACTAACTGGGGGCTTACTTTGAAGTCAGAGTGCATCTGCCTGAGAGGCAAGGAACCGACAGTTTGCATACTAATAAGTTAGATCTGTAAAATGGATGGGCACGCTACACTCAGGTTTTAGAACAAGGCTGAAGAAGTGGATGAATAACCAGAACTTTCCACCAGAGTTTACAGCCAGTGTACGAGAAGAATAAAGAAGAAGAAGAAGAAGTTGATTAATTGTGTCTCAGTAAATAAAGCTTGCATCTTGGTGTTCAATTACATATTTGTGTGTGTGTGTTATTTTTTACTTATTAAACATAACTTTTACCCAGACTATACATTGTTCAGTGTTATTTGACTAAATGAACTTGTACTAGTTCATGTGTCATTGACATTATTTATCTAAATACGGCTTGTACCAGCTTCACATTGAAGGTCAAGGACCCAGTGTGCACACCTTGCCATGTGTGTTGGTTACAAAGTCTTGACCTATATTTTTAGACCAATCAGCACTCATTGATATGATCAGCATCATGAAAGCTGCCTTTACTTTCCAGGACTTTCCCCAATACACATTTTAGGTTGGGTCAGCCTGAAAGCCAATGACATTTTTGAAGGAAAAAAATTTAAAGAAAAAATTAAGGCTTAATGTGGATTTGAACCCAAAACCTTTGGGCCAGAGGCAGAACATCTAGCTGATATGTCACTGCAGTTCCCGTCTTCACATTTGTTCACATTTTTAATCTCAACACAGCTTGTACCTCAAGCAGTTTACCTGAGATACCTACAAAGAGGTTTAGACCAGGCAGAGTCTCAGACGGCCAATTCCTACCACTGTAAAACAGCAGACTGTCATGGTTGGTGTGTGTATGAGGATCTAGTCAACTTCTTCGAGTGTCCGGTGTGCCAGAAGGAGAATTGTTTGACCTGCAAGGTAACAACGCCACAGTTTTTTAATATGTCATTCTTCTCTCTTGATCATTGGTCAGAATACAGTTTTGATAGAGTGTTCACAGCAGATCTAGGGGTCAGTCCACTTGGAGAGAGAATGCCTTGTGACGTCATACCAGACAAGACATTCACCAAAATAGATGGACATGGAGCACAAAACAGCCCAAGAACAAGAAGCAAAGATAACATCACAGAGACTCTACAACAGCACAATGTGTCTATAGTTGAGGTGGCCGGAAGAGCCAGTAGCAGAACCCTCATATTTCACTTGACACCCAAGGTGAAAAAGAGGAAGCAAAGAAGAAGACAGAATAGAGGGCTCATATTAAATGCTATGATGGTGTCCAGAGAACTCTGATGGAAGGAACAGTTCATGAACGAATGAACAGACTTTTATTTCCAAAGCGTTGGGGGAGGCAGGGGTTGATCAGCACCATAGTAGACACAAGTTGCCAAGAACATCACGGGCATGAAAGTTCCAAGGGCAGAGCAGATGGCAATGGACGGGGTCTTTCCAACACTCCATGATGAGAGTGATTTTCTACAAAGGACCTGCTCTACATGATGGGAATAGAATTACTTAGCCGATGCTCTTCTACCTTGGAGTGTAGAGTTTTGCCGGATAGATCGCCAGTGTTCTCTTTTTTTTGGCTTTGTTCCATTCAAGCCCTGTGTCAGTCAGTCAGGGACTGTCAGGTGTCTGAACCTGGTGGTCTGGTTCTCTGGTTCTCAGCCTTCCATCCCTGTCATAGCGGCTGATTCTCTCCCATGCTTCATACATGTCAATGAAAATAGAGTATTGGCATTAATAGACTATTGATAAGATGTCCTTTTATCTGTTTAGATTTGTGGGTATATTTTAATAGTTAGTTAGTTTAGTTAGTTAGTTTAGTTTAGTTAGTTAATTAGTTTGTTTGTTAGTTAGTTCATTAGTTATTTAGTACATTTATTAGTTTGTTTATATGTTAGTTCATTTATTAGTTAGTTTGTTTATTAGTTAGTTCATTTATTAGTTAGTTTGTTTGTTAGTTCTTTCATTAGTTAGTCCATTTATTAGTTAGTCCAATTATTAGTTAGTTCATTTATTAGATAGTTGTGTATCCTTTACGGGGTTTTGCAGAACTAACACCAGCATTTCTTGGCTGTTTTAGTTTTACTAGGCAATTTTACTTTGAGTAGTTTGCCATTGTACTCTGAACGTTCTGTAGTCTGCTGCTAAATTCCTGTTTCTACTTCTCTGCTCTGTCTCTCTTGCCATCCTTTTTAATAACATCTTCTAGATATTATAACTTAGCAATCTTTTTTCAGATTACCTCATCTATATTATATATCTACTCTTTCTACCAAGGCCATTCATGAAGGTAAAAATTGCAAGGAGTACCAGGACGACCTCAAGCTGAGAGCTAACAATGACGCTGCAGCCAAGCAGACGGCTGAACTGTTACAGGTACCCCTTGTCGTATGGCAGTTTTGTCGCGCACCTTACTTACAGGATATTTTCACAAATCCCTCAGGTGCTCTGAGACAGGAGAGTTTTGAATGGTGGCTCTCGTTCGTCTAGAGGCCTAACCCTCGGTTCAAACTTTCCATTCAACCTGTCTCAGGGATGAGGTGACACGAGCTCTGACTCCACAGGGTTTTTATGAACACTTGGGTACCTCTCGGCCAGACGTCCTCACCACTAATTGCCCCCCAGACTGGAAAAAAAAACAAGTCCAGTCGAACAAATAATCAACAGCGAATTTGACAAGACAACACTGCCTCTCTGAATAAGACAATAAAATTCAGTAACACGAAACTTTTCTATCAACTAGAAGACTACTGAATTTCATCACGATTGTAATTAATTTACTATAACAAAGTTAAGGGAAACCGTAGCGAAGAAATAAAAAGAACGATCACAACTTTAAAAATCTAACACTAGAGAAAGAATTCCTCTAAATAGACCTATACACTATCATGTTCATCACGGCGAAGGAGAAAACATGACCATGAAGGCACATTTGGAGACGAGTTATCTTAGTCTGCCACGTCACTTATCTGATCAGATCTCGTAGCTCCTCAGCGTCTCAGAGTGGAGTAATACGCCACCGTACTTTACTGCTCGGTTACACAGGAATGAATCAGCTTCTCCGGATGCCGAAAAGGAAACTCTCTCTGCCGTACTTCCCAGTACGACCACACATGAACGAATCAGCTTCTAGTATTAATCAAGAACTGTCGCCTCACTTCACCGGAACGAATCAGCTTCAGGTGCGGATCCAGGAAACTCAAGTCACTATTGAGGGACTCCGGCACCCGTGTCGTCCGCACATTCAACACCGTAATTCAGCATACGTAAAACGTTTACCGGGTCGTGGCAGTTGGAACCACACTATCAAACGTAGACACTTGTTGGATCTTCAGAAAATCCCATTGTAAATAAAAAAAGAGAACAAGGAATCTTGTCTGTATAACGGTCAATTGGCGAGACACAAGGAAAAACGCCTGCCTCCAAGACCGGACTGTAGAGAGTGACGCACACAAACACGTCCCCTAACAACAGCAGTTAGCGTACGAATCGCGCTCACTAATGCAGTGCAGTGGTCAGACAATTTATTTAGAATAGGCGTAGAAAAGGCGTCCTAACATTTAATTCGACACTCAAAGCCTAAAAGAGTCATTATCAAAGGGTTTTATATGGATTTTTCCTATCAGGACTCCCCCACAACAAACGAACTATCTAACTATGCTTGGCCTATTCTATTACATAGTTACGATGACGAGTTTAGGGTGGTCAGCTATATGGACCTTCCTGCTGTGGCAGATGTGTGGATGCCGTCATGCGACACCCCTCCAACAGTACTTTCTTCTTCTTCTTCAGCATTCCGAGCCCTTGAGGTTCATTGCTGCAGATATTACTCACCTCCACTCATCTCTCTGGTTGGCCTTCTCTTTTCAGTTGGTGACACCAAGTGTTTGCAGGTCTGTCTGGATATTATCTCTCCATCGTCTTCTTGGTATGCCTCGTGCTCTATGACCATTTACCTCCCTTGTGTATACAGTTTTCACTTTTTTGTCATCTGAGGTTCTCTCAGTATGCCTTAACCATTTCAGTCTATTAGCTCTCATGATGCCAGTTATCATTGGTGATTTAAACAGATTATGAATTTTGTTGTTGCTTCTCACTCTCCATTCCCCACTGTTGATGCATCCTAAGACTCTGTAATAAGGCTTTATCTCTTTTAGTTGTGCTCCAAGTTTCAGAATCACATAAAACGACTGGTCTTACCAACGTTTGATATATTTTGATCTTGGTGTTGCGAGACTAAGTACTTTGCAAAATTATTTACACATTGACATCTTACATTTCTTTTCCAACCTTGGGATGTAGTGACACGCTTTATTGTCATGATCATTATCATCTTGTTGTGCCATTGTAGATCAGATAGAGCTCACAGTCGAATCATTCATTTCATTCTGTCCTATGCAGTCCTTTTAATATTATGGGTGGAACCCAGTCCAGCACCTTACCAATCTTAACAATGGGTTTCTCTTAGACTTTCTCATTTCCTCAGTCTACTTTTTTCCCATTTCACTGCCTGCTTGGTGATTCTGTGATCATTTCTCCTCATGAGACAGGCTTAGGGTATTTATTTTATAATTGTACACATCATGACAGAGAAGGATTTCATATTGGACAGTGTTGAATTTTGAATTAAGATTCTACATTACAGCACTCGGGACACTCCTATAAGTGATCCATCCTCCATCTTCAGCAGCAAACGAAGAGTTCCAATTCTGATGGCACCAGTACCTGTCTGATTTTATATCCGTCTCATCCTTCCCCTGAGTGTCGAGCGTCGGCCAGATTTCCTGGTAGCCTGTCGATATTGGACATTGGGTTGGTCTGTTGATGAGGAAATACCTGAATTCCTTTCATGAAAGATTTCATCATAAAACATTACTCAGCCAGTCAGTTGGCAGTGCTGAATCCTTCTGCTATTCCATCTTTTCCTTTATCCTTTTTTTTTTAAACTGGTATTTTGCCTTTCAGCGTCAAGATCAGGAATTGATTTTTAAAAATGTCTGGAGTAAATCTTCATGTCTGCTTCATACATAAGGCTTTTTACAGCCTCATATTTTCTATCAGTTTGTTGTCTGGAGAAGGTGAAATCTTGCTCTTTCCACTTTATACCACTGTTCTTGTGTTCATTGTGCCATGGTATCAGTTCTGGATTATCCCTTAGTCAAAATTATTGATATGCAGTATAGTTTTGATAATCTGGTTGACTACAATATCATTTTGTAATGCTTATTTTCATTGTTTTTTTTCCAATTATTTTCGAGTGCACAGTTATATACTGTTCTCTCTCCCTCTCTCTCTTTCTTTCTCTCTCTCTCTCTCTCTCTCTTACGCACACACACACACACACCCACCCATCCACACCGACATACATATGCACACACACACACAAAGAAACATTTTTAATAGTTGCTGGGAAAGCCTGTTTGCTTAAAAACATTGATGACCCAGATACATGAAAAAAAAATTAAAATTAAAATACACACATTCATGTCAAATAAAGGACATAGTTATGTTCCTTTGAGTAGCTCTGCCTTTTTCATTTTGTTTTGAATAGTATGTTTGTGTATGTTTCAGATTGTTTTCAATTTCGTATTTATTTTATTTTTCCTATTGTTTTCCAGTGTTTGATTTGAATTCTTTTGTTCTCCAAACAACAGAAACTTGTAGCTGACGGAGAAGCCATGCACTGCCCTCAGTGCCAGGTGATAGTTCAGAAGAAAGGCGGATGTGACTGGATTAAATGTTCCATTTGCAAGATGGAGATTTGCTGGGTGACCAAAGGTCCAAGATGGGGCCCACTGGTACGTTCACAATACTTGTTACTTTAATTTCTCAGCTTCAGTAAGAATTATCCCAGATAATTTAATAGTAATATATACTAACAATTCCTATGGGGGGGGGGGGGGGGGGTGGGGGGGGGGGGGGGGGGGGGGACCAAGATGCCAGAATCTATTTATGGGTAAATGTCTGTTTTTTTTTTTGCATTCTTTCTCCTCATTTACATTCCACTGTATAACTTACATCCTGATGTTTTTAATTTCTAATTCAACAGGGAGAAGGAGACACCAGTGGTGGTTGTCGGTGCCGACTGAACGGGCAGAAATGCCATCCAAACTGTATCAACTGCCACTAAGTCCTGATCTTTCCTTCGACAAGATTAGTCTCAGAAAACTCACAGAGAATGCGGATCATCATGTCATAATGCTGATTTGTTAGCTGCAGAAAAGTTGTATCATTTATGCCACCTTGTGCAGTGTGGAGATATGTTAATGCCAGCTAAGTGTAGGTTAACAAGCAGCACAAAGACCAGTCTTAAATTCTACAGGTAATCAGGTAAGCATCAGGATTATGTATCACAAAGCAGGGCACTCGCCCTAGCAATCAAAAAAGTTGCTGAAGGCTGAGGATGTAGTCTAAAGCCATGTGCATGTGGAAAGCAACGGGAAACAACCATATTACTATCCCAAGAAACTCATCAGAGAAGCCAAAAATGTAAATACTGACATCTTGAAAGATTTGAACATCAAGGAAGATCTGTTAATAAACAGCATCCTGTCTCGGAAGTTGAAATATTTTGGTCATATCAAGTGCCACGACGGATAGGAAAAAATTATAGCAGAAGGCATGGTACCAGGAAGGAGTGGCAGAGGCCGACCAACACGAATATGGGCGCAAGATAAAAGTGACTCCTCGAATAAAAAAGTGAGGCGGGAGAGCTGGCGAGAGACCGAGTTTCTTTCAGGCGGACCGTGATAAGAGCGACTTTCTGCAAACTACCTGCTACATGATTATGAATTAGGTAATCACAGTTCCAAGTTCCGAGCAGATGGGTCATACCTTAGTCGCTCTGTTCCTGTGCCAATAAGAACCACACAGAATGTCCACTACTGTCCCTACAAGAATATTGTGTGTTGGGAATTGAACAGGAAGACAGACTCGCTGACTCTGCAACACTCGGTGTTTACTGTCTGGTCAGATATTCCACCTTTGATGGTCAGATGCGATGGACTCATGGTTGCATGCCTAAGGCTTGTCTAGTCAGTCAAGTTCTGTATGTGGGTCTTTCTTGGTCTGCCTCCTCTCCTCTTCCCCTCTACTGAGCCCTGTAGTATTGTTTTGAGAGGCCATTAGATCTTATTACGTGTCCACCCATTTGGGATATTAATGGTGAGTGATTTTATCCAAAGAGATTGTCATTCATCACTAGAACTCTCTGAGAAGAGTTTACAGTCGGTAAACGCTATGGAATTGAAAGGGTTAATATTAATAGCCAGGTTTTTTTAAATCCTTAGTGTTGAGATTTCCTTGGACAAACCTGTGTGTTTTATTTTCGTTTCAATGAATATTTAGAACTCTGCCAAATTTTTATTCATGGGTAAGTAAAGGAACCTTCAGTGCAGAACTATTCGACTAGCGGCCCGCTGGCTAAATCTAGCAAGTGGCTGGCGGATCAGAGCCAGTTGTATTGTATTAATGATCTTTCTACGCTGGGGCTCAGCTCTGCTTTAGCGTATCAGAAATATGGTATTAGATCCATATGTTTATAGCCCAGTTAGCACTCGATGGGCAAGGAGGGTCAGCATCTTGACTTCCCTAGATATCACCCAGAACCCATTTTAGGATGTGTCAACCTGGGAGCCAAGGTCAGTTTTTACAGAAAAATCTGCAACAATATGGATTTCAGGCCAGCTGGGGAGCATCTAACCGCTATACCACTACACCTTCCATATTCAAAAGGGCATATATGTTTTTCAGCTGGTGTGTTAACAGTTTACATTTCGCTCTCTTGTGTTTCCACAATAATTATGCTTGTTCTTCGTATTCTTTTACTTTTTCTGTTCCAGTTCATACAGGTTTTAATTGTTTCATTTGTGGGTACTTATCACAAACTTGCTCGCACAGCAAGAGTTCCTGCCCCTCCCATTCATGCTGCTGTCGGTCCCATGGCCTGTCCTATATTGTGGGGGTGTCATGTATTCCATATTTTCAACGGTTTAACCATTCTCTCTTTTCGCTTGTTATCTTAATTATTGCATGATTATTTCCATTTCGTGCTACTTGCCTGATGGTTCATGAGTATTAAAACTGGGGTGTTTTTGTATTTCTACCTTCCTTCTCAGTAGCTTTCTTTTCTGGGGGTGGGGGGGGGGGGGGGGGCACCACCAAGGAATGTAGATATTAAAAAAAATCCCAGTTTCGATACCCAAGAGCAGTCAGCCCTCTAGCGCTTCCCCCTTGCAGTACTTCTTGTAAACAGGTACCTGCGATGCCTCAGAGAGACTCACGACAACACAACCTCCCACAAACATTATAAACAGCAAGCAACGCGTAACGAAGCCATTTCATAACACCCTCACAACATAGGTCAGGCCGTGCGACTGGCCGCGGCATGAATGGGAAGGAAAGGAACTCCCGCCATGCGGGCAAGTTGGTGATAAGTTCCAATTTTTGTACAGACATGTTTGTTCTCTGGGTAATTTAAGTCATCAGATTCCATAACCTGTCAGCATAGAACAGTATGACATTAAAAACTGCTCCTGTTTGTAGCCACAAAAATTAAGCACTTTGTTAGTACTCTTGTACTCTTTCTGTTCTAATTCACAAAGGTTTTTATCGTTACAGTGTTTGCTGAGACATGCTTGCTTTCTGTTTAATTTCTGCTGTCAAATGCCAACACTTGTTGGCAGCGAATCTTGACATTCAAAACTGCTTCCTTTCTGTAATTTCTCGCTGGTAATAAATGCATGTATTCCCTGTGCCTATACCAGGGCCCTGTTGTAGCGCAGGGGAGGGGAGGGGCCCACTAGCCCCCTAAAGAGCATGTTGAAGAGTCTCGACCAATTAAGGGTGTTTCCTTCAATGTCAATTGATGCAGCGGGAAGTGACGAGAGGTTCCGGCAGATGCTCGAGGCTCAGAGGAAAGGCAAGACGGACGTTTATTCAGAATGCTACTGGCACCATTAATATCGGAACTCTTCACTGGCTGCTGAGGATGGGAACCGAGCGCTTATGGAAATGCCTCAAGTGCTGTGATGTCGGTTCTTGAATCAACTCAGCTCAACTCTTCAATGTCGCCTGAGAGCAACAGTCTGCATACAAATAAGCCAGATCTGTAAAACAGATGTGCATGCAAAATTCAAGTTCTGGAACAAGACTAAAGTCCAAAAGTGGATGAACAACCAGAAATTTCTGCCAGAGTCTACTGCTGGTGAATGTAAAGAAGAAGAATACATACATTTTTCATACTTTTTTTGTAAATTGGTTATTTTAAATGGTTTTATTGTATTTAAATGTAAATTAACAAGATGATGATGTGTGTCCAATTTATGACTATTGAAAAAAACTGTTCAATCGTTTGTTCATCGATTTCATTGTTGTTTGTAAAGCATTTTCAAGAAGTCTGGTTCACTTGTATGTTACTGTCGTGGATTGAAATCATCATCATATACCTTAGGGTTCAACCAATTAATTGACATATCTTTTGCATATAGGTCATCAATAGTTTTGGCCTATGGGTTTTCCCATCAGATAATTAAAAAAAAAAACGTGCAATCAGATTTTGTGTGTAAACAGTATACTTCTTCTTTGCGTTCACCGGCTGTAAACTCCAGCGTAAAATTCTGGACTTTAGTCTTGTGCTCCAGTCCAGAATCTGAGTGTTGCGTGCACATCTGTTTTACAGATCCGACTTATTTGTATGCAAATTGTTGGTTCCTTGTCTCTCAGGCAGATGCACTCCGACTTCAAAGAAAGCCCCCAGTCAGTCGACTCTTACTGACATGCTTACAATGCTAGCTGGAGAGGCAGTGAGTTTATTCTTGTTTTCCCAAAGATCTTGTTTTAACCAAGATCAAAATATATCAAACGTTGATAAGACCAGTCGTTTTATATGGCTCTGAAACTTGGAGCACAACTAAAAGAGATGAAGCCTTATTACAGGTTTTCAAAAACAGAGGATTACGACGAATCTTTGGACCCATCAAAGATGCAAACAGCGGGGAATGGAGAGCGAGAAGCAATAACGAAATTAATAATCTGTTTAAATCACCACTGAACACTGGCATAATGATAGCTAATAGACTGAAATGGTTGGGGCATATTGAAGGAATGTCAGATGACAGAGAAGTAAAAACTATACACAAGGGAGGTGAATGGTCGTTTTGGAGAGATAATGTCCAGACAGACCTACAAACAATGTCACCAACTGGAAAGAGAAGGCCAACCAGAGAGATGAATGGAGGTGGGTGATATCTACAGCAATGAACCTCAGAGGCTCGGAATGCTGAAGAAGAAGAAGATGTGTAATTTGATCAGTACCACACCAGTCGATTTTACTTGCTATGTCATTTCCTGGCACCCTTTTGAATTGTTAAGACACGAAATCTTAGTCAATAAAAAGGAAAATCTCTATTATAACAATATATGGACAGATAACTTCTAAGGTAATACTCTTCCTTGCCGATCCGAAGGTCGTGGGTTCAAATCTGCATGAAGTCGGACTATTTAAGACAGGACCTTGGTTCCCAGGTCTGATTCGTAATACCAACGTACTGGGATCGAAACCCACAGCTAGCTGCGTTGATTTGTGTCATGGTACGGGGCGTCGCAGGTCGACCCAGCCTAAAATGAATACCAGGATGTACGTCCAGGGGAAGTAAAGACCGCCGGCGTAATGCTGACCACATTACCCACTTAGTGCCGAATGGTCTGTAAAAATATGGGTGCTCTTCCCATATGTCCGATGTGCTTAAAAGGCGTGAAAAGGGATCATTACTTTACTATTTGCCTTATGGCATGGAAAGAAGTACCTAACTCGACCGATGACATTAGCCATATCCGACACCCCCCCCCCCCCCCCCCCAATCTCTCCTGTGGATGAGTTCATTTTTAAGACAGGTTCCTGTGTGAGTTCTGGCGTCTCATTGAGTTGGGGAGGGGGTATAGACCCTCTTCTTTACACCCCCACCTAACCCTTTAAAAAAAAGAATGTCGTAAAAGATTACAAAAGAGGACAAAGAAAAACTATGGAATGACAACATCAAGAATTGGACAGGACTAAGTTATCACACACTTATACATCAAGCTGAAGACAGAGAAAGATGGCGGACCTGTGTGCTAGTGCTTTCATCTATA